GAAGGACCTTAAAGAAGAATATTAGGTTTATAATAAGTCGCCTTGTCCAAAGTGGGTCGAGTTTTAGGATCATGCACCGTGAGATGTAGTCTTTCTTACAATCGTAGCCAAGCAGTTTTGAGGTAAAATATCGTTGGATACTTTCCATCCTTAGCTTGTCACGTGTGCGAGTGCTGCTTATAATAAATGGACAGTATTCTAGTAGTGGTCTGACACATGTTTTGTACAGAATTAGCTTGGCTTCATTGTCGTGAAAGTTCCTGAGTATGCATCCTAAGAGCATCCTCGATTTTCTAGTCTGTGATGCTACTTGCTCAGAGAATGTCAAGTCACTAGAGTACCTCAGGCCTAGGTCAACGACACTTCGGAGTCTTGTTAGGTTAGCAGATTGGAGCGTTAATTTCAGGTCAATTGAGGGTGCACCGAAGCAGATCCAGCCACATTTGTTCAGATTAAATTGGAGATTCCATAGGGACGACCAAGCAGTCATTTTATCTAATTCCTTCTGCACTACATTCTCGAAGTTCCCTAAGTCATCACGTTGGAATGTATAAGCTACTTTTAGGTCATCTGCAAAGATGAATGGTTTCCCGTGCGTGAAGCAAGCGCATATGTCATTGATGTATAGTGTAAATAGGAGGGGTCCAATGACACTACCTTGTACTACACCAGAAGTGATAGGGCTAGGTTTGGAGGTTGCAGACCCGAGTTTAACTATTTGGGACCTATTGTTAAGGAATGATTTAAGCCATCCTAATAATGGGTCACGTATTCCTAAGGAGTTCAGTTTATTTGTTAGCAGTAAATGGTCAACACGGTCAAATGCCTTAGAAATGTCAAAGTAGATGACAAGTACTAGTTGCCGTCTGTCACGACTGCTGGTTACAAAATTGAAGAAGTCTAGGTGACATGTTAAACATGATCTGGATTTCAGGAATCCATGTTGGTTCGGACTTATAATGTTGCAGCTAAGCATATGTTTGATTAAGTTATCTTTGACTAGTCTCTCCATGATTCTAGATGCTATAGGTGTGATATTGATTGGCCGGTAGTTACTGACTTCAGTTTTCGAGCCAGATTTGTGTTTAGGCATAATGAATGTTGTCTTCCATATGTCAGGGTAAGTTTGGGTTTCTAGGGACATTGTGAATATTTTAAGCAGCAGTAGAGGAATGTCAGGGCCACCATATTTATAGAAGTAAGATGATATACCGTCGGTACCGAAACCTTTTGAACTTTTGAGGGTTCTTATAGTTTGGTTAATATTAGCGTAAGTGAATTCAACAGTGCTAATTTGGTTTGGTGTGAGTGGAGATGGAGTTTGTGCCATTTTAGTAATAGGGTGTATATCGAGTAGCTGGACTGAGGGCTTAAGGTAGTTACCTGCAAACGTTTTGTTGAATAGTTCACATATGTCTGCAGAGTTAGTGCATAGCCTGCCTTTGTCTATGAGGAGAGAAATGCTGTGATTTTTGCGATTCATTCGCTTCCTTAAGATTTCTGTGAGTGCATACACTCTAGCAGGACTGGCTACTGCGATGCGTTCTTCCTTTCTCATACGGAAATCTTGAGCTTGTGAGATGGAGCTAAGGGTTTTAATTTAGACCTAGAGTGCCAAAGTCGTGGTGTTTGAAGTAACTTGTTGAGAGTTTCTTCAGTTTCGTACGATCCTTTGGTTTTATGAATGACTTTCTGTGTGGGGAAACCTTTAGTGTTTGGAGTGGAATGACAGCATCTAAGCATGTGTTTGAGTTATGGTAGAAGATGGTTAGGGCTCTCGATAGGTCATCAGTAGTGAAGTATTCATCCCATTTGGAGGATCTTAGCATCGATTCAACTAAGGCCCAGTTTGCCTTACTATAGTTCCTATATATTACTTGTTGTGAAGTGGAGGTATGAGATGCATTGCTACTCAGCGGAATTGGCAGTGCACACATTACTGTTTTGTGGTCGCTCCCTGGAAACTCAGAACCTACTAGCGTTGAAAGGGGGCTTATATTGTGGCAGAAGATTAAGTCTAGTACGTTGTTACCTCTTGTGGGAGTAGTGACAGTTTGTTTCCAGCCAAGTATATCCAGTGTGTCTAAGAACTTATCAAATTTAGTTGGGCCTGTGGGTATATCCCAGTTGATTTCAGGTAAGTTAAAGTCCCCACATAGGATCTTATGATCGTATTGTAAGTCGGATAATTGCTCCAGAGTATTAATAAGTTGGGTCTCGTAATTACTAAAGGTGCCAGGTGCTCTGTAGGAGCATCCAATTAATGCTGTTACGTTATTTAAGTGTACATTAACCCATAGAGTCTCAGGCATGTTAAGTGTACTACTTTCTAGCTGTGATACAGTAAGTGCATTCAGAAAGTACATGAGACAACCCCCTCCCTTACCACCTTCCCTGTCACACCGAAAGTGTGTGTAGTTATCTAAGCTTATTTCTTCATCCAGGATGTTCGAATGACACCAAGATTCAGTGATGACAATTACAGGGGGTTTGTATATTACTGTGAGTGCTCTGAGCATCGGCAATTTATTTAGAACAGATCTAGCATTTATGAGGATTACGTAAAGATGAGAGTTGAAGTAGCATTTGAAGTATTTAAGTTCGTTAGTCAGCCCCGAATATGGTTCAGCACCCAGTAGTTCTGCTGGACATGACGATCCTATGTTAAGAGGAGTTCCAGCATCATGCTCACCTATGTCTATCGAGTTGTGTGTGCTGTTTTCGGTGAAGAATTAGGAGTTGGAGTACTGGATTTGCTATAGACTAAGGAACTTTTATTTTTAGTTAGGTTACAGAAGTGGGTAGGGTTCTTTATTTGGCCTATACTTGTGCAAGTGTCAAGTGTGCCTAATGGATACGGGTGCACTAGACCGTTCCTGTTTTCATGCAAGGAGGGAGCCAGCACTAGTGGTTTAGGAGTGTTAACATCCCTACCAGCTGTTTTTTCAACGCTGACAGGGACGCGGGGGATAAAAAATGATTGGATCCTTGTGATGACCATGGCTTATTATTCCACCTATTGTTTGATGCTAGTTGTGTCCTTGTGTGGGTTTCGTGTGTACTGCATTGTGGGTTAGTTCCCAGCAGACTTGTACCATATATCCGGTCGAAATTTGTTTGTGTGCCATACTCTGAAGACCCTGAGTTGTTGGTAGCCGAGTTCTGACTATTACCACTTGTACTATTGAGGGTGACATCGTTGTGACATTGGATATTAGTGTGTGCCGTGGTGCGATTTAGCACGTTGTGAGTGCTAATACTATTAACCGTGGGGAGTGTGGGCTTATTTAAGCTGCCACTGTTTTTGTTGGTATGATTTAGGGGCATATTTTCCTTATCTTTAGCAATGGAGTTATGGCTAGGAGAGGACAATGTCGAATTTCGGGGGGTGTCAATCACGTCTCATAAACCGTTAATGCCCAGCTCTCGCTACGCTCGGGCCCACGCTGTTCCTCGAAGATTTCAGAAACGCTTAGTTATAACGGACGAAAATACCAAAACACCGATCTGCCGCTTGATATTTCTGTATTGTTACACCAACATATAAAAAGAATAAGTGAACTAAGGTCTGAAAACAAATATTACAATAATAAATCATTGTATTACTTCTGACGATGTTTCACTCTTCTTTCTGAACAGCGACCGATGAGACGATGACTGTCGTATTGATGCCTCCGCGAAAATTGGGGAAGTTGATTTTGAGCAAACAACCATGAATTGATCGTTCCATCTTCAACTCCATTGACAGGGCGTTTGACTTTTTTTCTTGGGTTATTTAGTGGAATTTTAGATTCTACGGCGATAGGTGGTATGGTTTTATTATTTATTTAGTTACAGTCTAGTGGCCTTTCGGCTGGTGTTGCACTCTGATGGGATATTTCTGTGTGTTTTGAGAGGGGTGATGCGGTGGGGTCTACTGTATCTTTCACAGGGTTGTGAATAATGGCTGCTTGCAATGTCCTATTACCTATTTCACAATTAGTCTTAGCGAGATAGTTGTATGCGCGCCTTTCTATGACTGTTTTGTCCACCCCGACCTTTATATGTTTGTAGTTTCTGGCTTTTTTAGTGCCTCATTGTCCGGAACGTTGTAGACAATAGCACTCAGTTTTGCGTCGAGTCGTTTTGTTACTTCTGTGGTAACAAAGTAAATGAGGTTATCTACCTTAGTTATCGATTCTGTGTCAAGCTTGTTAAGGTTTACAGTTTTCATGAGGATAGTTAGAGGTGTCAGTTCACAGACCTGCGATCTGATATCGCTGATCTGATCTGATAATTTGGATATCTCGGTATTGGTTTCGATGTTTCCAGCATTTACTGGCTTACTGTTTTTTATAGTTTGGTGTGTAAGGATTAGTTATGTTTTACGGGTTGATCACGTATTGATATCAGTTAGAGAACCATTGAAAACCAGGGAGTACTTGACAGCTGCTGTTTCATCCTGTTTTTTATTTCCCTTGACTCAGCCTTAAGTTCTCCTATAGACATCTTTAGAAGTTCTAGTTCTGAAGATAGTACTGAAAAAGGGCTTGATGGCTGGAGTTTCTCGATAAGCACATAAGGTGAAGGGAGGGGTTCTGTATGAGCAGAGGGTATTTAATTTTTAGGAGTAGTGCTAATACTAGCTGTCAGTACAGTTTTATCCTCAGTTTCAGCTCGACGCTTACGGCATACAAGTGAGTTATGTGACTCACTATAGCCGTTTGTAGGGGGTGTGTTGCTTGGTGTAGAAATCAAGGACGTTAAATTAGACACCAGTTTTACAGGAGATTGGGTTCGTTGCCTTTTACTTTGATTAACCATAACTATTAGAAATGAGTTAGTGGTTACAAGTATGGAAGTGGTATACTACTTGTGCAAGTACTACAACAAGATAAATTTTATGTAACGAATCACGTAAAAAAATAAAACAATCATGTAACGAATATATATACATATATATTTTCTTTGAAAAAATACAACAAATGAAAGGGCTTCGTACAAAAGAATTCATACAAAGATCAACTAGTGAAGTACAGAGAGTTACCACCACCACTGACTGTTTTAGGTAGGTTTGAAAATACACAAACTTCGCCAGCATTATTTTTATTGGTAGTGTCGTTTTCCGGATTGAAACGATCAGTCGCTTGACTCTCAATAGAATTTTGTTGCACACTATCTTCGTCGTCGGACAATACAATAACTATGGGCTCATCGGACAGAGATGTGCTTTGAAGTTTATCAGCTTCACAACTATGGTGGAATGTTTCCGACAGAAGTTTTGGACAATCAACAACACCTCTTTCATTACAAGAACGAGTTAGTTCGCCTGAAATTAATTCATTGTCACTAGTCACACTATGGTCACCATTATTATAGGCATCCGTTTGTATATTGTTTGATAAATGCGATGAGGTGTCAGCAATCATACCATTCCTACTTTCATTCGATAGATTTGGCGCGTTTTTCGCTTTGGAATCGCTGTTACATCCATCTATGATTATTAATGAGGCTGGCATACCAGGAAGATCTGCATACATATCTTCAAGTAGATCCTGAAGATTACGAACCGCTGAAAATGAAGAGAAACAAATTGAGTGATCCAGTTCTCTTCAATACATTAATCTCAGAAAAACGTGTTCGAGATATAACTATAACAATACTAAATAAAAAGGGAATACTTTCACAAAAAAAGTGGGTTTCACTATGTTTGTCATCATACAAATGCAATATTATGTCAGAAGAAAGCAGTGTCGTTACAAACACACTAGACCAGAGACATTAACATCAACGTAGAAACAAAAATTACACTGGAAATACTTGTGTAACGTCAGAAGACAAGGGCCAGACAACAGATCGTTTATTGAGATAATCAAGAGATATGTATAGAATTTTATGTGCATTATTGTCAATGGTGAGGCATTGTCTTCTGACTGGTTGTTTTCTTGCTGAGAGTTATTATGTACTACTTGTGGCCATTTCTCAGAAAGTTAAGCTATACATCTGCGAATCGCATTTGCACACACTAAGTCTGCTGTGCAAATACCAGAGATATGGAAGATATTATTACCACCAGTCAAATCAGAGGAGGATAATAAAGAATTTTAAAATTCTATTTCAATTCAAGCACATCACAACATTCCAACAAGTGACTTATTATGACTATAAAAACACTCGTCTTATTCCCCATCTGATTGTATTTGATATCTGGATGTACATTATGATATAATAATTTTTATTCAAATGTCTGATCAATTTCACTCATGTATATAAATGAAGTAAAAAGTTGTCTGAGTGACATGATATGATTATGAGTAGCAATAGTTTGTGCTCGAAACGTGGCCATCAGTAAATATTACTGTATAACAGTGTGTGTTTATCAAATTTATCTATAATGGAGGTATACTCCACCACAGTGCCGAAGTTTTATACTTATATCAATAAGTCTGCTGTGACTGGTTGATGAGCCAGTTTTGTTCTCTGTACGCCTAGGTTTTTTTCTTTTTCTCTCTCTCAGGCGTCAGGGTATGTGAGTTTCAGTCATGATGCTATAGATGACAATATTTACTCTTAGGAAAGATTGAGAAAGTAAAACTCTTATCATCACATACATCATTTACAAGAAGCACAATAAAATATTGTATACATTACAGAGAATCTATCTATGTTAGGCAAAATTATTGAACACTACTACTCAACAAACCTGCACGTGTTGCTTCTTTTGCTTTTGAATCCTTAGGTAAAACAATACATTTATTGGTATCCGATAGAATTAATTTGTTAGATAAATTAACAGCTGCATCTTTAATACGACCTGAATCTAATGATGTCTGGTCTGTGCTTCTGGTAACAGCAACTTCAGCAACTTCATATAAAGATTGTTCGATAACTAAAGCTTGCTCAATCAATTTTAAACGATCCGTTAAAAAGGCATGAAATTCGGTATAGTCTGAGGGAATACGTACAGGCACAGTTGCTAAACGTGAATAAAAAAAAGTGGAATTTGAATTCATCCAAAAAGGTTAAGGGATGAATTCAAAGTCTGTATTAATGTTATGATAACAGCATTCAATAAACGATTGAGATTCGAGAATTATTGATAAAAAGTCACTGACAAAAGTTTTTTATGCAGCTCAGATGTACAAAACATAAATGAATTTATGCATTGACACTGTGTTATAATTTGAATACCTTAAAATCTTTTCCAACCATCTTCAATTAACACTGATATATGAGTTGTACTGTAGGTGGTAGGGTTTTCTCATTGCTCCTTCTTTAAAATAAGACAGCCAGAGACAATGAACTGCTAAATCTTAGTTAGGCCTTAAAGCCGAAAATGAGAGAAAAGTTACTGCAAGATTTAACGTTTGATCGTAGAGGCGTGATAACTAAGCTTTGTAACACCATCTTTAGCAATAACTTATTGCCATCTCATCTTCTCTAACTTTAGTCCAACCGCAATCGAAGAGTTTTCGGTTATATAACAACTTTGGCCGTGAAATTCCACTGGTTCACACAAAGTCCAACACTCTTTGTTTTCGTGTAGTGGTGAAACTCCCTGCAGTCAATTAGTCATTATTATTCTTCCACCTTGCACAATAGGCTTTGTTGGTCTACACTCCATTTCAATCGTAAATTAGCGAAGTACTCTTTTTGTTGGTTGCCTCTGAGGTATACTTGACCTAGAATATTCTAAATGTTCATTTGAGATGCTAGTAGATTTTTTTTTCTGTCGATAAACACATATATGGAGACAACAATTCACTCTAAACATCTTAAGAATTTACTGTCCTTCAGATTTTCGTTGTGCTGAATGTGCTAAAGAGTATTTTAAACATAACGATTGCAAGCGACATTGCTGCTGATGCTTAAAATTTGTTCTATGTAAGTAGATTTACTGCATACTGCAATGATGAAGAATAGTCAGTTATCATTTCTCCTTCTTACAATGTTTTCCACTTAATTGCCTTTGAAAATCATAAAAGTATCGTCAGGTTATCTTATCCAAACATACTGTTTGATTAGCACAATGAAAATTGATACCAACCCGTGCATTATAGATTTACCAACCAATCTTGATATTGACGATAGCACGGATGTTTAATGATTGATTGTACCGTGGTAATTTACTTCTTCTCCGCAAATATTTTCTATGGTCACCTTTTAAAGGCGGGAAGACAGAATAAATGCCTCTTCTGTGGTCTTCCGCAGAAAACTCACTGCTAATAGTACATACTTATAAGCCGGTTGTCACTAGAAACCTTTCGCATTGCAAATAACTTATTTTCAATGGTAGCTGACTTTAATCTAACTGCTTTCAACTAGATATTTTTTGGCGTAAGAATTTTTTCCATTACAGCTTGATTCCACATCGTATTTTCGGTAGAAGTATGGAATTCTCAGCATGCAATAACGGTAGCCCAAACTTTGTAGACCGACAACTAATATCAGGTATGCGTCGGCAGGGCATCAAACCCCTGGTCGGTGAGAGTCCTAACCACTGTGCCACCGACGCATGCTTGCAAGATGATCTGTTTCAGTCAGGCAGCATACATCCTCGATTCATCACAGTATTGCAATTCATGGTTATAAGCAACAAAGTATGTTGGAAAAGTTATCTAACAAACACTTTTAACAACTAAATGCCAGAGTATACAAATAATGTATCACGAAACTACATTATCATAGTAGTATTTGAATTATTTCTTGTTCTGTAACGGTTGAAAACGTGCTTTTTTCACAAAAACGTCCTCAGTGTTAGTCAAATTAATATTCAACTGGCATATACAATCAGGAACGGAATGGAAACGAGTTAGAGAAACAACATTGTCAATTTTTAAAACAAAACAAAAAAACAACAACATCTAATTAGTTACTTTACTTACTTTACTTTACTTCGGCTATCTCCTACGGGAGGATGAGCCGGCTTCATGAACGTCTCGAATCATCGCTGCCCAGGCGCGGCAATTTGTAAGAGAGTTCATGAAGTTTCATGGGAATTTGGTACGAGTGATGTCCCCAGCATCGCCCGGCCTTTTGTTTGAGAGTGCAGCTCTAGCCTTCACACAGCCAAGTGTGACCTACAAGGCAGTAGGAGTGGAGTAAGGAGTCCACTATCCATTGGCAGCCGGTGACCGGAGTTCGGTTCATACGCCTTTTTGAATGGGGCCAGACATCCAGGACATCCAACAAGCCCTTTGTCCATACGTCTGCCGGTGAGCTCCAGTGAGCTTCATACGCCAGTCGTTGGAGGTTTGGAATCAGGGTTTAGCCATCTCCCCTAGACCGTCATCCAATGGACAGTCAACCCGGTGGAGAGCGCCGGGCATCCGCTTTCGCCCTCTCACTTTGGTGAGAAACACCTCCGCCACGTGAAGGCAGTGAGTAGGACTTCCTCAGGAGAGGCTATGTAAGACACCCGGTCATATGGGAGCATTTCAAGAGGTGTGCGGAGGGGTGGCCAACCCGCAGCGCAAGGCACCCACCCCCGACCATCCTGAGGCATTGGAGGCATCTAATTAGTTACTGAAAAACTGCTTATTCCGCGCCTTAGTAGCTTAAAATTAATATATCTGTTGGTTAAAGTGACAGTATACGTCGCTATAACGGCTTGCATAACAAACAAATGACTTCAGATAGGATTAAATATACACTTCATCTTACATAGAAATTATTCATGAGATACATTTCATTCCCAAAATAAAACTTATATCCGCAACATTATCATCCCAGAGAATGGCATTCAGGTTGTCCACATAAAAAACGCAACACACATGACCCTCCTGGCGGTAAGGAAATTTATCGATCTAATTACAACAACCTTCCAGAGTTCAAAAAACCAGAACTTTGTTCAGGTACTAGACAAAATCAAAAAATTTACTAAGTGGTAAATTCTGACAGAAAATATCACTCATCTGGTTTATATGGCGGCTATCCAACGCATCATATCATGCTACATTACCGGAACAAGGGAATAAAAAGAAGTACACATTAAACTATTACTTACTTAATTCAGAATTCATAAGTCTATTCATAGCGTCTAGTACACCAGACACTCCAAATTTTACTATAACGAAACGTGGATCGGCCAGTATATCATCCCAATTGGCATATCCATGAACAAGTATACCAGCAAGCAACCAATAATCATGACGTGAATGCCAAATTCTTTGACTCTTTAGTATCATTTCAGAGTCTCCAGCCATCTGTGATTGGGAGCAAATTGTTTCACGGATATTGTTGATTTGTGCACATTCATCATTCCACATAGAACGCAATAATGATAAGCCACCTTCATCTATGTTAAATTTAAATTCAGAATATTCATCCTATCAATAGACAAAAAGCAAAGGTGTTTATGTAAAATATATATATATATATATATATATATATTTGTTGATAGGAGAAAACAACAGAGGTGTTTATCATTTCATATAAGTTTTATCAGACATTTTCCCCAATGCGATCACAACTTTTTGTTTTCAACCGGTTACACACTCGCAAGCCTAAACCATATTTCACTACCGGATAGCTGACACGCAGCTAAGATATACCACAGGACAATATGTAAACAGATTATAATTCCGGCTGGAATAATAATAATAATAAAATAAGCATGAGTATTTTTATTATTATTACTATAAAATAAAAAGAAACCATAGTCCACATTGTAGAGAGCCAATTTTAATCAGTGGTAATGAGAGAAACAGGACTTACATCAGTAGCAATACTTCTTGCACCGTTAATATCTTCATATTCTAATACTTTATTTCTAATAAGAACCAGCATTGCAACACGTGATAGTACAGCAGGGACGCACAGGTGTTCCTTAGGTAAACCATCGGACCATCTAAACAAAAATTATTTTAAATTAATATATAAAAATGAAATTAAAAATAATTTTCTTCTACAAATCAAAGTTAATATTATGAGAATACCTGACCAATTTGAAAGTTTATAGGACGGTGATAGTGAAAACTGACAAGCGACGAGACAATCCTTTTAAATATCAACTATCCAAAATGTCAAATGTATCATTATCATCCTCGTCCTCAATCATTTTCCAGGAGTGTTCCCACACGTGATGACCTCTTTTCCTGTGTTGGCCGCTCTTAGTTTAGCATTCATATCATCCATTAGAAGTCTGATGTCGCTATTTGGGGACTGGTGCATTACTGTTTGCGGTTATCTGTAGAAATCTTCCTTCTCTACTTATGCCAATCACCTAATCATTGAAGGCGAAGAAGTCTGAGAAGGGTTCTCCGTTATCATGCATCTCGCCTCTAGCTCGATGATGAGTTATCTTCCTGAATTATCTGCTCCCAGTTTATCATTCTGAGAAGCCTGTTTAAAGCCTCAACAAGACCAGACAACTGAATATGTTTCGGAAATCACTTTGAAGTTTCTCGTAGACCTTGCTTTAAAAGAATATTATTAAGTCCACCCTATTTATATATATCTTGCCACACAGAAATTTAAGCGGCTAAATACATTAGGACACATTTTAGTCTTACGCCTGTTGCAAGTGATTAGGTGGTTAGTGTATCCACCACGCGTACAGCCAGTAATGCGGAAGCTAGAAGCAGAATTCATCGTATCCCTGATTATCAATGCGTTTCCATGATAAATTTACAGAAGTCTGAAGAATACATCTTTTTCTAGAAGAAAGGGATAGCAGATATCAATGCTATGTTTACTACTCTATGGTACATAACAATTTCAATGGTTGAGTATTTTCAATTAAAATACGTTAGTCAAAAAGTAAGTGAAAGAAGTCTTACAACTCAGACTTGTATAATAGGTTAAGACTTGCATCTGTTTTGCTGTGCTTTCAAATGATGACAGGTTATGTGAGTAATTCATGAAAAAGCTTCTTTTAGTCAATATACCAGGACTTAGGAAGTGTAGTAGACATATCTGATCATTTCACATACTAAAGTAGGTTTCTACAGAATGACCGTACATACATACTTTACCACCCAGTAAATAACCCGACCGAAAGCTGCTACCTTGACGTGGTGGTCGGGCTTGAATACCGCAATGACCTAATCAAGCTATACTGGCTGAGACTTATGTCTCTTGATGTCCTACCATGCCAGAAAGGTTGTTTGGATAGCGGTTAAAACAAAAAGCAGCTACCCAATCCACCATTATGATACAAACAAAATTACAAAATTTCATGCCGGATCGGCCGTGGCCCGGATTAACAACGACCACGTTTCCTGCTGCTGTGTCACAGGGCAGGAGTGATAAATATGCTACTGAGACACACCAAACAATAAAGAGGAAACAAAAACAGGCCGCGTGTGACCGGCCTCAAGCAGTTGTCCCCTGGGCTCTGCGGTCACGCAACCAACTTCCACGGTGTGGGTAGCCGGGAAGTAACAATCGCCCTCACAATCTGAAATGCACACGAAACCTCTCTAATACTCACTCATCTTTGTCTTCATCTTCATCTCTATCATCTTGCTTCCTTCCACTGATGCAACTCCTTGGCTCGATAGCTCTCCACTTCCTCTCCACTCTGCGTCCACTAAAAACGATGGAAGCCAAAATACCACCACCAACAGCCTCCTAAAGCCACGCCACCAATTTCATATAGGAACTTTTAATGTTAGGACACTTTGCCAAATAGGACAACAAGCATCACTAGCCAAAACCCTGGCATCCCGAGCCATTGATGTATGCTGTGTTTCAGAAACACGCATACAAGACCCAAGTGTGGTTATTCACCTAACCCCACCTGGCCAACAGGTTGAATCTGCAAAATTCACCTTGAGGGTGTCAGGAGATGCCACAGCTAGTTCACGTGGATTAGCTGGTGTAGGGATAGCTTTGAGTACTAGGGCAGAAAAGACATTGCTTGACTGGATCCCGGTAGATAGCCGAATGTGTGCTGTCCGTCTGAACGGGTCAGTAAAAAGGAGGAAGGACTGCACTACTCGCCGATGCCTTTTCGTAATCTCCGCCTACGCCCCCACTGACTGCAGTTCAGATGAAACGAAGGATGAGTTCTACCAAAAGCTGTCTAGTTTGGTGCGAAAGGCTAAACGCTCAGACATAGTCGTTCTAGCCCGTGACTTTAACGCTCAAGTAGGGAAATTGTGTCAATCTGAGAAGGATGTCGGTGGCACCTATGGAGTTCCGTGCCAGCGAACTGACAACGGTGACCGTCTCCTACAGTTCTGTTCTGATAATCATTTGTTTCTTGTAAGCACTAACTTCAAACACAAGAAGAGACACTGTTTGACTTGGAGACCCCCTTCATCTAACCAACGCTGGACACAAATAGACCACATAGCAATAAGCTATCGTTGGCGTGGGTCGGTAGGAGATTGTCGCTCCTTCTGGAACACGTGTGTAGATACCGACCACGCACTGGTCCGCGCTCGGGTGTGCTTACGACTGAACGGACGTAGGAAACAGCTGGCGGTAAAACCATCACGTCTCCAGCTCGATCAGGAAACTAAATCCGTATTTGAGGAAGAACTAGCTAAACACATATCTGTGTTCGACAGCTGTGCTCACCCTGAAGAAGCTTGGAAGAATATCCAGGCAGCCATAGATACAGCTGTAAAAGCTGTGAATAAGTTAAACCCAAAGGTGAGCAAAAACCACTGGATCTCCACCGCCTCATCCGAACTGATAGATGCTAGAAGGCTTATACCGGCGAGCTCCGAATTCAATGAGGAGCGAAAGCTGCACAAAAGGAAACTTACGAAAAGTCTCCTCAAGGACCGTGAACAGTGAAGGGTGACAAAAGCGAAAGAGATGGAGAAAGCTTCGAGGATAGGCAACACCAGTCAACTATTTAGACTCATCAGGGAAACGGGTAGGAGAAGACAAATCATTAGTGAAACAATCTCGGAGAAAAATGGCACTATAATTAGCTCCCAGGATAGACGACTGGATCGCTGGAAAGAGCATTATGAGGAGCAGTTTAATTGGCCCACAGCCACGCTCATCCTTCCGAACATCCAACACCTCCCTGAATGGGATATAGACACAGGTCCTCCATCCCTAACTGAGGTTACTAAAGCTGTCATCAATCTGAAACTGGGCAAAGCAGCGGGACCTGATGGAATCACTCCAGAGGTATTTAAGTACGGTGGAGACAGTTTACTGTCTGCATTAACTGAGGTACTAGGCAGCGTCTGGGAATCAGAAGAAGTCCCATCGGGTTGGTGTAAGTCACTGATTATCCCCATATACAAGAAGGGAGACAAGTCTTCCTGTGATAATCACAGAGGGATTAGCTTGACTAATATAGTATCTGAAGTCTTAGGCTCAATAATCATGCGCAGACTGAGTGGTGCTCGGGAGGCACAAACACGAGAGAGCCAGGTAGGCTTTAGACCAGGAAGAGGGTGTATTGATCATATCTTCACCCTCCAACAGATTCTAGAACATAGGAATTCCTACCGGCGTCCAACAGTCATTATATTTCTTGACCTAAAGGCAGCATTCGACTCTGTCGACCCAGAAGTTCTCTGGAGATGCTTGGCTGTAAAGGGAATTCCGAGAAAATACATTCCACTGATTAAGGCACTCTACTCGTACTCATACAGCCAGGTGAGGGCTTACGGCGAGCTGTCGTCTGAACTGGTGACAACTAGTGGTGTCCGTCAAGGATACCCATTATCCCCTTTTCTATTCAACTTCATCATAGATGTACTAATGGACTTAACCCTAAGTGACTTCAGCGACTCAGGGATTGACTTGCTACCAGGGAATAATCTCGTTGACTTAGAATATGCAGACGATATAGTCCTCCTAGGCGAAGACGCTGACAAAATGCAGAGTCTTCTAAACACCTTGAGCCGCAATCTACGAATGTTTGGCATGCGATTCGCTCCCGCCAAATGCAAGATGATGTTACAGGACTGGACTACACCGACTCCTAGATTAGAAATAGGTAGTGAAGTGGTAGAGCACATTAACCGCTTCACTTATTTGGGAAGTACCATCAGCCAGTGACAACGGGTTGATCTCTGACGAAATCTCAGCACGAATACAGGGCGCTCGTTTCGCATTTGCCAGTTTACGCCGACTCTGGCGTAGACGAGATGTTCGACTATCGACCAAAGGGCGGGTGTACTGCTCATCAGTCCGCTCCGTCCTCCTTTATGGTTGTGAGACCTGGCCACTGAGAGTGGAAGACATGAAAACACTAGCTGTCTTTGATCATAGGTGCCTGCGCTCTATTTCCTGTGTAAAGTGGCATAATAAGGTGAGCAACACTGAAGTTAGGCGTCGAGTTCTAGGTAAACTGGGGAAATCAATCGACGAAGTAGTGAAGTTACAAAGACTGAGATGGTTAGGACATGTGTTGCGTATGCCAAGTCACCGCCTTCCTCGACGAGCAATTTTGGCTGATATAGGGTCAAGCTGAAAAAGAGCTAGCGGAGGTCAAACAAAAACATGGCATCATCAGTCAATGAAATCCACAACAGTTGGTCTAAGTCACGTAGGAAGGTGTAGACTTCCACCAGGCTGGGGTCCTCGAGACGGTAAAAATCTATGGTTGGAAACAATTGGTGACATGGCTCAAAGTGATCGTTCTCAGTGGCGCAGATGCATCCACTCCTTGTGACTTATGATCTCCAATGAAACTGTTTTGTTCTTCGTTATTACTCCTCCTTTGTCTCACACCTCTGCTCACTGTCTCTATTATGCTTTTCTTGCACTTTCTTCTCTTGCTTCGCGTGCTACACGGAGTGTGGCGACTTGAACTTCCGCATATTTGTGCAAAGTTCTATATCGAAAACAGACAGACAGACAGACAGACCCAGTAAATAAACTTACACAACACTCCTACTGTTCTGTGCAATATAATTCATATATGATTAACAAATGGAATGACAGATTTTGATTCAGTAAAACAAAAATTCACACTACAGGAAGACACATAATATTTCCGATGCTCGGTAAAGTCGAGTAACTAGTTTCACTGCACTATATTAGTCTGAGGTACAAGAAAACAGTAGTTATCTGTGTGTAATTGGTAACCAGCGATAGAAAAAGTCATCCAACAATCAATAAAAATCTCAATGTTTACGTGTCTTTCGAATCATCTAAAGCATATCGGTCATCACATAGATGCTTCATGTATAAGTCCACATAACCAAAGAGATGAAGGTGAGATTTATGATGTAAAGCTGATGGAAGCCAATTTCGGGGCGGAATAATACCAGGTGGTGGAAGACCAAATCTATCGTTTTCAAAAAAAAAAAAACAACAAAAACAATCGGTAATTTGTTGGTGATGAAACTAAGCAACGCATAAACTGAAAAGTGAAGTGATAAGTTTAAAAAATGTATTGAAGAAAGGTTGTTGGGAATTATAGCCGGATCAAACGTCGCAGCCATATTAATAATCAAAATCTATTCTTTTTATGTTATGCAATTAGGAAGTTGTCGAATAAAACAAAAGTTGCCAAAGCTTTTTAACGTCCACAAATGACAATCTCTTTATGAACTAATTTAATTAAAAAAGTATCAAAGGCTTTTCATCAACTGCCACTCAGAATTGTTACTTAGAAAGTGTAACTGAAATAATTGAAGGAATTTAAGAAAAATAGCCTAGATATATTAAAGACAAGTTTGAATGAGGTTCTCGACCTCAGGATGGTCGGGGGTGGGTGCCTTGCGCTGCGGGTTGGCCACCCCTCCGCACACCTCTTGAAATGCTCCCATATGACCGGGCGTCTTACATAGCCTCTCCTGAGGAAGTCCTACTCACTGCCTTCACGTGGCGGAGGTGTTTCTCACCAAAGTGAGAGGGCGAAAGCGGATGCCCGGCGCTCTCCACCGAGTTGACTGTCCATTGGATGACGGTCTAGGGGAGGTGGCTAAACCCTGATTCCAAACCTCCAACGACTGGCGTATGAAGCTCACTGGAGCTCACCTGCAGACGTATGGACAAAGGGCTTGTTGGATGTCCTGGATGTCTGGCCCCATTCAAAAAGGCGTATGAACCGAACTCCGGTCACCGGCTGCCAATGGATAGTGGACTCCTTACTCCACTCCTACTGCCTTGTAGGTCACACTTGGCTGTGTAAAGGCTAGAGCTGCACTCTCAAACAAAAGGCCGAGCGATGCTGGGAACATCACTCGTACCAAATTCCCATGAAACTTCATGAACTCACTTACAAATTGCCGCGCCTAGGCAGCGATGATTCGAGACGTTCATGAAGCCGGCTCATCCTCCCGTAGGAGATAGCCGAAGTAAAGTCAAGTAAGTTTCGAGTAATTTATTAAGTTTGTAAGAGATCAATAAAACTTGCTTAATTCACCATCAAAAAAAAACAACCAAAAGACATTTCAGTATATTGTGACTTCCATGACGAACGGAACAGATAATTGTATTTGGTGAAGTGCTAACTAAAAGTGAGAGCACAAAACCATAACGTCATTTCATGAAAGTGTTTATTAATGAACCACTCTAGACTCGAACTAATGGGTACACCATTTTCAACCAACACTAATAAAGGATATCAAATACCATCAATGATTGATCCCCTTAACACCAAGCAAAGACAATCAGACAACTTGAAGAATCTTATCACTCGAAGCTAGCTGTTCGTCAAAGAATGGAAAGTGCCAACTAAGGAGGACAATTTCGGAGGCATGAATATGTGCTCATCTCGGGAACTTGACCCATACATACATTCTGTTACGGTCTTTTAACCATTAGATTATTGTTAAGAACCATCCTGAATTGTTGCATAAACTCCTACACCCTTTTAAGTAAGCTTTCAACTTAATGCTGAGCACTTCTGGAAGGAAATGAAAAAATGTCGTAAAGGACTGGGACTCGCATTAACTGGAACAACAGTGTCACATGATATTCCGTCAAGTAATATTTTACTTGAGGACTCTATACCAAGAGTAGAGATGTTGCCATTTCATCCGTTGAGAATGCTGCAGTGTGTTAGCGTATGTTTTAGAATACGGCTATTCTTACTGTTAAGTTTACCATTTATAGTGGTAGTGTTAGTATTTTTTTAATTATTACATTGCTTTACATAGGGCTTCAAGTCAGAGCTTTGAAGTTTCGGTAGCAGTGGTGTTTACTTTAACGGGATGGGGTTGCTAGCCACATGTCCAGCCTTCCCTCTATACCAGTCTTATAACCAACTCAGTGAGGTAAAGTAGTGCATTCTCCGGGGATAGGACCCCAAACCTCAAATGTGGTTGGCGAGCATTCTACCGCTGTACCACCGACGCACGTAGTAGTTAGTAATCATTGTTATTATTACCATTACTATTTATCACTACAATACTATGTTTAACCTAAAAATTCCAATTTTAATAATGTACTTATCAGATGAGGAAATTCAACTTCATCACATAATAGAAAGCAACTGAAAGAATTGTTTCTTAGACTAATCATCATTAGTCTTTATCACGACTTTAAACACATTGTTATCCACAGTTATATCCGTGTGCTGAGCAATTTCACACGACACACACACACACACATTTTGCATCAATAATAGAAGCATGTGGGAAAAAATTTTGCAACTTACTTCATAACTGCATCATTAAACAACTGACGATCGCTGGGTCCAAAGTTGTGTATAAATAACTCCCCTTGGTGCCATTTTGCATAATTACCCAAAGCACGAACCCTCGCTCTCCACTTATTGTATGTTTCAGCTGTAGGTTGCCAACACTGTGGTTTCAACAAATCAACACCAAAATTACCACTTCTGTTGAGAGAAGGGGTTGTACGAACAGGCTAAAATAGGGATGCATTTTAAAATTATGATAACACCTATTCGAACTTGAATTTCTTGGCTATCTAAGTCAGAAAATACAACACCCAGTTTAGTTGACAGAAAATCGATTTCATACCCTTTCGACCGGCTAACTCAACACGATACAGGCAAGACAATTATAGCAGCCATCAATATCAAGTAGCCTCGATTCTTGCAGCAAACATGAAATGCGTAACTCGTCCACCATAGCTAAGAGACCACAGTAAGCAACATTCTCAGCAGGCCTTCTTAAAGCTACAGTCAAATATTGAAGCCCAAAAGGTGAGGACCAAATATGTCCCGTTTACGATACAAAAGAACAGAGAAGGGGAAACAATAAAAACTCTAAATCAGCCAGTTGATCATAAAGCACACCAGGACACTTAGTTGTTAGAGGTACTTTGATCAGGTGAGACGAGATCAGTGTGGAGATCCATGGAATGATGACAGTCACAACCCATACATTTAGAAGTGACAGGGTAGACAGAAAAGTAAGAGATATATTACAAGGTAGAATTACTTTGGTTTTCTCAGCGAAGTGGTCAAAACAGTATATTCGAGTTAACACCATATTTAGTACAAACTATAGCACAAATATCAAGCCGCCTGCCTGCATACTACAAGCTAAAATGTTTGCAGTTCTATTAGTGGTACCTACCTAAAGAAGAAACTAAATAAAGTTAAACAGTACTTGCCGTGGATAAAGAAAAAAGAGGTTGGACAAATGCCATTTGGACCGTTTACAATCACAGGGTTCATGACGAGGTAACTCAGAGAGACGGAGAGTTTTTGTTTAAAAAATAGAAGGGTAATATGGAGAAATCTATACTCCAACAGATCTCGAAAGGGTTGAGATATGATCAATACGCACTCGTCTAGGTTCCAAGGCTGGGTGCTTGGTTTCCTCGAGTTCGTTTTTTCAGAGCTCCACTTAGTTTAAACTTCCATCCTTAGAGATCACTTCATTCTCCATAGGTTTCTTAGAGCTCGTCCCCCTAATGATCCTAAATAGCTGACAGGTATTACATATTGCTGATGTCTTCATTTTTTTCGTATCACTATCTCTCCTTCTTCTCACTTATTCTGCAAATATATACATGGAAAGATAGACCACACGAAACATTCGACTAAACTGAACAACTTTCGGATGACTGACAGATTATGCTGAGACTTTCAGTACCTGAAATCGAACTAAAGTTTCTAATAATACAAGTGAAAACACCTCACATCTTTAAGCTGTGGGATTAAAACTAAGGAAGTTAACACATCTTTTTCCTTGATGAGAGTCAACAAAGAGAAAACAACAAGTTCAGCATGATAATATATCAATTTTACTCTGTCAGCTCTGGCCAACTGCACACAACTTAAAACAGTTTCAATGTACAAAATAATCGCCACATATTCTAATTGTTTGGTTTGAACATGCCAACTAAACACAAGAAGAATTAAAAGAACGGAACTACAGTTCTCGGTATGCTTGTTAGTCCATAGACCTCATTAGGGGTCAAATATTTACGTCGAGAGTAAGAGTGAAAGCAAATAATAAATTAAGCAGTGTGAAATGACACTGTCAAAACCAACCAAATTTAAAGAAATAAAAATGAAGTTCTCTCCCAATGGTATGGAAATATTAACAACAGTGTCACCCACCCACACACCCACTACATCCAAAGCACACAGGTGGTTCAAATGAACTGTAGTCAAGATTTGACAGAATAGTTCTATAATATTTGGGCGCCGAGTGAGAAGGTGGTTTTTAGTCGCTTAATAACCACGTCTTCGGAGATACTCAGTAAACTGAAGCTAACCTGTAACTCAATTATCTAAAAGGATTTTAAAATATCCATTTCGCGGGGTACTATCTATTACATGACGAGCGACTGCACTCCTAAAGACTTTTGCACATTTCAGTCACAAGATCCTTGAAATATACCCAGACATGCAGTTATTATTCGTTGTCTTGTTGATTCGATATATATCCCAGAGCATACGTATGTTAATTGGCGTATATACCATTGAAATTAAATGCGCTTATGACTTTTCAACATTAGACTGCCTCAGTGAATAACTATTCAGTAGAACGTGACTAACCTGATAGCAAGACAAGTCCTTCGGCATGCATCATTGATTCATTTAATTCGTCCAAATACCTCATTACCTTTGAGTTAAAAATTCAGGAGAGAGGGTTTCAAGTCATTCAGCTCACACAACCTAACCAAATGAGCTGTTAACATCCTATGTTATTTCCGACACTTACTGTCCTATGCATACTTCGAAAAATGGTGAGTTCATCAATAAGCCTTTCTTCTATAAAAAGCTTTTCTGTGAATGAAAACAATGTCCCTCATATGATCTATTTCGTAACTTATCAGACGATACTACGAAAATGAGCAACTAAGAGTTGTACATGGAATCTTAGCAGTTAAATGACACTAACTAAATGCCCTTTAAATTCGACCAGAAGTACCATTAGACTGACCATCTGGGTATCGCAAGAGCTATTTATTGTCAAGAAAAGCACTGAGGTGCTTACGAGGATGCGCAATAATCCAAATGATTCCCCATTCATCATTGCATCAGCTAAAGGAACACGGTTACTGAATACAGTCGCTAACATATTGAATTTCAGTAACGTTATCAGTGACGTTACGACGATACATGTGACTTTGTCGTTCATGTAGGCATACACTAACACACAATAAAATGTCAGTGATGACAAGATAAACATTGCGAATCTTATAAGAAAGAGTTGGTGCTAAAACCATATAAGATATAGTATCAGCCTGAAAATTCAGCGAGGGGGGAATAATCGTACTCTCAATCAACTGTTCGCTACGCAGGGCAAGCAATCAAGAAACTGATCTGTTATGACTGGTTCGGCATACTGAATAAAAAAAAAATCGTTTGACGCAACTGATATATGGCCTCCATAAACGACCTGGTACAGCCGAGGGTAGACAGACTTCGGTCTTCCCCCAAAAATAATAATGTCATATGCTCTATCAAAACCCTTTGTCCAAGTGGACTTCCAAACTTTTTGTGAGAAAAGGATAGCCTTCTACTTCATTTTCAACGACATTCATCCTAGAATCTTGAGATATCAATAAGCCCAACTAAAACTACCGTAAATTAGCCTTATTCGTGTCTATCAGTAAAGTATTTAAGAAATCAGAATACCACTGCAACTTATAATTACAACATTGTTAAGACCAACTCACCCCATTACTTTTCGATGCTTCGTCTACATCAACATGCCATCTAGGACCATATTCATAAAGCGCACAGTTATCACCTAACAGCTTATCGCATGCATATTTCAAAGCAGTAAATCGCTGGTCCACAGGCTTCCACGGTCTGAGATTACTATGCTGTTGCTCAGAATCATAAGAATAAGTTTCACTTGGTCTGGCTTCATTTGACAGCAAATTTTTACCATGATAAGTAGAAGGCTGTATCCCACTTTCTTTATGGGGTAATACACTATTGCTTCCTCCTGAAGTTTCATTATCATTATTATCGGGCACCTTGATTTCGTTATTCTTTGTTTGACTAACACAGTTATTGACCTCCGTCACAGGACTTGATCTCTCGAGAAAAACATTGTGTGATTCATCAACTTCGCCGAACATAAGTTCCATGATATGCACCCTAGAGAAAAAAATATTCCACTGCAATCAAACAGTTAAGACACCTGAAGAGAAGATGATTGTTTGACAGTACATACGCATCAACAAAAAGAAACCATCGTTTCACAATCAAATACAGATATTTTCAGCTGAAATAAAAAGGATACACATTTTATTACAGTGACTACATTAAAACCCTCCGGATGTTCGGCATAAAACTTACTATTTTACTTTTCAAAAATTAGAACCAAATCAGTGAAATACTTCTATAATACCTGGGAGTTGAATTTATTTAGAGCTGAAACTATTTATGAACACATTCTAGCGAAAACTGCACCCACATCGTGTATGAATTAAGTTTATACTCCGAATAATACCGTCGGAAAGGAGCTCAAAAAATTAAGCAATGCAATATTTTTAAATCAATTAATTAAGGTTATAAAACAACCGAAATGTACTAGTTACTGTCGTTATACAAAACAACCAAACATAAGAAATAACACCACAGTACTAGGAACTGCGAAGTGCATTTATTTAAGATTACTCAATAATACACCCAGTGTTTCTAGTGGTTCATCTCAAAAGCAAACAATTATAATTCAGCTGAGTTCGCCAAAACACTACCGGAATGAATGACTTACGACCAGTCATCGATATTAGTGATTTCAGCACACTGAGCATGTTTTCAATTCTATGAACTATACACTTCGTTAGTTACTATATAAACCTACAAGCTAACAGTGTTAGAATTTTTCTGTTCCTTCTCACACACCTCCCCTATTCTATTTTCAAAACATGTAAACTGATGGTGATTAAACAAAAAATTATAATGCTTATATTTTGGATGCATTGATTTTGTTTCCTTTACTACCATTCAAATCCTGAAGTACGGTATTGTCATTATTCATAACCACTGTAATTCCAGCTGACTGACTGGATTCAACATAGAAATTTGCACCGGTGTGCAGCAGTTCGAGTCGCCACAATTCACTCAGCACACAAAGCCAGAGAAGAAAGTAAGCAGGAATGCAAAGTAGAGACAGTAGACAGAGATATGAGGCAAAAAGAATAGTAATAACAGAGAAAAATATAGTTCTATTGGGTATATAAGTCACAAGTAGTGAATGCATCTGTGCCAGTCATTGACAACGATTTTGAGCCTCTGGAGGGATTCCATCAGGTCCTGCAGCTTTGCCTCGCTTCAGACTAGTAATCTGAGTTAGGGACCGAGGACCTGTGTTTACATCCCCATTCAGGATGGTCTGGGATGCTGGTTAAGTTGAGCGTGGCTGTTGATCAGTTGAATCGCTCATCTAAGTGTTCTTTTCAACACTCCAGTCGTCTATCCTGAAGTGCAAACGAAAATCCTTCAACGTATCAGCTTCATGCATGCAACTATCTATGAAGTCATTATTGATGATTACGAACACAATTTGAAGTTATTGGTCAAATCATTAGCTAGACTGCATATTTCTAAACGCAAACTAAGTATTTCGACCACATAGTTAGGGATTTCAATCCAGTTTCCTCAAAAACTACGTTTTAGTCGTGCCAACTTCCATTCAAGGTGCAAAATAACGCGAAACCTACCCGTTCGCTGCTGGTTGCAGTCCACTCTTAAAAGCTTGGAAGGACTGATGACTTACATGCGCACTCAGGACAAGATTGCTCTACACGTCTACACACTTCCCCAGCTGAAAATTGATATGTTGACTTTTAACACACAGAACATTGTATACTAACTAACCCACGTCGGTCAACCTGGTACCAGACAATCACTATCCCCAAAATGACTTATGAAAGCACTTTTTAACTTCCTCACCTGTTACTATATTTATGAAACCTGCATTTAATTGTACAAAATACAATATTCGCATACTACATTAGCCTTATTTATACCACAGCTGTGGAGATATTAATATGTAAGGAGAGCAGTCTTTACACTTGTAACTAAGGGAATATCGAAATTAGTTATCACCGTTAAAGGTGCCAGTGTATGAGCAAATCGTTCGCTAACAGGGATATATTAAAAGATGGGTATTTTTTCGTTAGCGGCGTGGGTAGGATGGGAATAACTGGAAAGTGAGAATTTTTCGTGACATTTGTAAACGGGAAGGAAGCTTGCGATGTGGACAATGAGTAAATTAGGTTGCATTTTATTCACTTCTTCAGTGGTCAAAATTCCACGTCCAGCCAGCGTTGTCCATGTGCATTCTCCGAGTAGGCAGGTGTTGACATACGCGTCTATATCGTGCATGATGACATGAATCTTAAAAGTATCAACACGGACATTGATGAGTAACAACGGGAGGCACGTTATGCCACCTACAACTTTCTGGTGTTCCTACTAAGTCCAGAGTAGATGGATCATGACAGGGTTCATGCACAAGTGCACATTCAAGCACTGTTGAAACAAGTATGCATGTATACCTGCAAGATCATTAATGTTGACCCAACTCGAATAATATGTGGCGCATAGAAGTCACCTAATACTATACAGGTATTCCCATTTAAAAACCAAAAATCAAACCGACTATTCACACTACCGTCCGACAACCTTGATATCCGAAAGCAGGGGATACGTAGTCAAACAAACAGGAAGGTATTCATTAACCAATGGATACAGAAAGCCTCGAAATCATATAGAAAGTATAGCCCCAGCATGGTTTCTCGCTCTATTCTTCTGAATTTATCAGCAGCATACTCTATCTGAGTGGCTATAGCATGCCATGTTGTAGAGGCTTACATCAGACCCCCTCTCCGTAGGACGAAATTCGCTAAGGATGGCCGTTTAACTTGCTCATTTTTGAATGGGTATGTTTAGGGTTACCCATCGAGTGCCTTCGAAGCGATGAAATCAGTTGATGGACAGTTACTCTGAACCTCTTCAACATGCCAGTTATGTGTAGCGCATCGACATGGGACAGTTTAAGTTTATTCATCTAGTAACTTACGAATAATGCCATTCGTCAACTTAGTTCACTAACCATTTCTATTGAAATTGCCTCACCAGACTGTCATCGGTTGCCTTCTAGTCTGACTGCTACCCACTAGTAAACATCTGGAGTCAACATTTTCTACCATGAGTACGTTCATCTATATCAGTTAGAAGAACTTTCTCGATCGTTGGTATAAGCCCATAACTTTCTGGCAATCTCTCATATGCATCTGCTATTACAGTTCATACGCATGGTGAACAGATATACATGAGAAAACGGTATGAATGATAAATTCCTCTAGCCATCAGAATCGGTGATTCACACCATGAACGTCTCGACCTTATGACAATCTTATGTTTCACCGATCTCTGATACTCTATGCTGGTGCCATGGTAATGCTCACTACTAAAGCTGACCACCTGCTATACTTCGTTCGACTTTCTGTGTGTTCCATCTCGGAATAGCGGTAATGATAACGATCTGCTTTATTAAAAAACAGCACTTTCAGTAAAACATAGAATTTTCAGCATTTATCGCAACGTTGCATCCAGTTTACTTAAAGTATAGATGAAATTAACCAAAGGAACTTATCCGCATGCACAGTAGGAATTATGCCAAAGGTGTGCAAAGTACAATTATTGCTGATGCCCACATGCTAGCTTGAAAGTTTAACTCGCCACAAGGAGACGACAACTAGGTGGGAAGAAGTCAAAACTTAGTTAAGTTGAGTTAGAAACTAATTGAGGAACTGCCGCGAACAGGCAATTCAACAACGCGTTCGTGAGGTGAGCTTCTACCTAGTTGTCAGTAGTGAACAAGTGTTTATTTATCTGCCTTTGAGAACAAATACAACACAAAAAGGATGGAGCTAGTTAAAGAAGTAAACAGTCAGCTTCGTGAAGTTTGAACTGGCTTAAAACTTTTGATTTGTGGGAGAGGTATGAAGCCATTAGCTTTGTGATCGTGCAGCTTCTGAAGTAATTCTGGGGACAATCTTAATCAAGGGGCTATCGGATATGTGTTGCCCAAGATGTTGGCTAAGAAATTAGGAGAAGGAAACAAGCTAGCATCCGAAGTCGTCGAAGACAGCTATGGAATGAGCCAGAATATTGAGGCACAACTACATGTGTGTTTGTGTTGATTACGAGATTTGAATCTAGTTAGCTCTATTATTAATGATCTGCCGTCTGTTATACCATTCCCACTGGCACTGTAAACTTAATACTGTAATGTTTTTCGCCACCAATAGGGGAGATGAATTTCTTCTGAAATTTCCATTTACATGAGGCAGTAATTTATTTGTTTCTAAAACATAAAATAAAGCACACAATTACACCAAGATAAGCACAAATCCATTGTCACTCAATAAAAGACAAAAACATACCGAACAGTATCGAAGGAAGGAAGATATTCACGTGGCCATCTGTGCCAGAATAAATCAGTCAAATTTTGTGGTAGTAGTTGACTGTATTGTTGGAAGAAAGCATTCGCTTTACCTTTTTTATGTCGTGATTTTCTCAGGAATTCACCAATTGCTGAACGAGTCTCAGTTAAAAGCCTTCTACGACCAAAGAAAGTACATGAATCAGGTGCATGGTCCTCACCGACCACTTCATCTGTACGTACCGTAGAATCGTCAGCTTCAATCAAAACTCGAAGAGTTGCATAACAAGCACAATAATGTGCTTGACACCATGATCCAATGTCATCGGCATTTTCCACTGGAGAATAAAATTCCATGGAAGTTACAACTGAAGGAAGCATTGACAACCAATTAATATAAACTACTTCTCGGACATCGCCTTGAGCAAAGTCAGTATTCAAACCGAACTGAACCAGAGCAAGAGGAAAATCAGATAAATCAATTCCAACTCACTCAGCTCGACACTTATCTATAGCAGAGGAAAGGTTTGAAAACTTGCTGTCATACGTTTCTCCTTTTTCATACCAACCTTTTACAGGATCTCCATTAATGATATCTTCAGTAGTTTTCCTGTGGAAATTTCGTTTTCCATAACAATCACGCCGAAACAGTTTACCAGAACCATATCCCAGCAGTTCATGAAGTCCAACTTGTAATTCAAAGGAACTTCCAGCATGTCTCACGCACATTTGTTTGTCTTCATTACGTAGAAATTCTGATTTAGGATCCGTGAAACGAGCACTAATTACGGGTAATGTACATTACCCAAAGAAACATCTTTGAATCCATCAACTTGTCGTACATCATCATAGTTAGGAATATTAGTTCCAACAGGAATTCCAGAAGTTGCGAACGTCACTACATCCAAACTAGTAAAGTCTGGCTGCAAGAAATTAACTTTTTCAAATGTAGAAGGCCATGGTAAATTTGTTAACAACCTTTCAGCATTATGTACAAGTCGTTGGAATTTTGTAGACACTGATCTATTTACAACAGCTACAAGTGATTCAAACTCTGCACGAACGCCAAAGGGATCACAGCATGACTCTATAAATGTATATATATATATATATTTCACATAAATTAAGCATTTACATGATTCACATACCGTTTGTACATGCATGATCATATTAGACAAGTGCAGTCTGAAATTGAACACTGTTTTATGAAATTAAAAATTGGAAGATGAATAGAAAACTTTACTAGAATAGAATATAAGGTACATAAGTTATTTAAAAGAAAAGAGGAAGTATATTAATACTGATCTATGCTGTTTTTCTGATTTATACAGTTAGATGTCCTCCTGAAGTAGAGAAATCGTACCATGAGCCATTTTTTCAAAGAGTTTGTACGCAAGCTGTGACATACAGGCAGCATTTATTTTTATTTTATTTATTAATAATTTTTTTTCTGAAGTAATTCATCCTCAGGAGCCTTAGCTGTATCGTGCATTCCCACAGATAAGGGTGGTTCTCTTAGGTCCCCACCATCATATCCGCTGAATAGCAGTCACCACTCTCCCACCTTTGAATCTGCTAGGCCCTGGCGAAATACTCCTTTTT